AGATGCAAAAAGACAGATAGGCTCAGTTAAGGTAAAGGTTGACCTTATCAGTGAAGATATCGGCTTAGGATGTAACTGCCCACCATAACTGCTTTTAGTTAAGGTTTAATTTTAGACCATCCTTTGTGGTTACTTTAGGTCTGCAAAACTGCCATGCAGGCCTCCCCTGAGCTTGTCAGGTCAGCATGTGGCCCCTTTCGTCCACACAGACAAGAGATATAAATTTGGAAATTATGGGGGAAGCCAGTTACAAACTTAGTTCAAGTGACTAAGCTCCACTGAATCTCCACACTCATCTTCTTTTTATTTGCTAGAATAAAAAATTGCCTTTTAGGAATGCAAACAGACGTATCAAAGGTAATGTTTAGTAAACAGTGGAAGATTATCAGGTTAGGGGTCGTTGCCTTCAGTCATTAAATCAATAGCAGATAATAACAATGCACATATTCAACCTTCTGAATATCAAAGCCCTATTCAGCCTTCTGACCTGACTTCTTGCATTTGTATTAATTACTGTTGATCTTGGATTCCAGCACTTCAGAAATTTTTTTTCTTCTTCCTCGCACCCCCTACCCCAGAAAAGTAAAGAAAGGTAAAAACAATGACAGCTATTTTCACTTTTTAGTTCAATGGTTCTCAACCTTCTGGCCCTTTAAATATAGTTCCTCATGTTGTGACCCAACCATAAAATTATTTTCGTTGCTACTTCATAACTGTAGTGTTGCTACTGTTATGAATTATAATGTAAATATCTGATATGCAGGATGGTCTTAGGCGACCCCTGTGAAAGCGTCTTTGGACCACCAAAGGGGTCTCAACCCATAGGTTAAGAACCGCTGTTTGAGTTGGATTTTAGAGGGGTTGGGGCAGCCAAAATCTATTCACAATACTGAAGTCATAATGCACTGTGTCAGATATAATAATTTTTCTATTCAATTTTTACACTAAGAAATGGGATTTATATGTGAAAATGTTACATAATGGAAGTTGGTATTAAAACATTAAAGAATAATACAGTGGTTACAAATAGATAAGTTTCAAAGCCAAATGTTAGCTTGTAAGTCTCTTTTTCCTGCTGTGAAAAAGAATCTGTTTTTCTGTCTTTAATGATTGTAACTCATTTTACCTTAAGAATATTATATTTGTTATATTTTTTTGTTACCTTCTCTGCCTTTAAGTGTTTCTTAAGGATATAATGTCAGGGTTTTTTTTAAGTATTTAAATTGGAAAATTCATAGATTTGACCGTTTATCAGCAATCTATAATACACTTGACATTGTATAAGTCAGTAACAAAATCATGCATCACTCTCCAAATGTTATTTCAGATTTTATTAAGCCCTTGATCTAAGGAGGTATAAGAGTTTTGTGGGAAATGACTTTACATTTTGCCATAGTAAACATACTCATTTTCATCAACTTGGTCTACTCTTTTAGACTTGATTATTAAAAGTGCACAGAAAGGATTATGAAAACATTTATGATCTGGTGATGCTTCCACAGGTAGCCTTTTCTTGTAATGAAAATGACATTCCTGCATTGAGTAAAAAGTTGTGTGGACTGAATACTAAGGAGAGATTCAACTTTTTGAAATCCATTTCTGGAAACAAGCAGCATCCCATATCCTAGACCAATTTGTATCAAAGTATTAAAAATGTATAAATCTTCTCCTATATAGGTTTTTGATAAGACCTGTTTGTATCAAAGTATTAAAAATGTATAAATCTGCTCCTATATAGGTTATTTTATTTTTTAAATATATTTTTACTGATTTCAGAGAGGAAGTGAGAGGGAGAGAGGGATAGAAACATCAATGATGAGAGAGAATATTTGATCGGCTACCTCCTGCATGCCCCCTACTGGGGATCGAGCCTGCCTAGACATGTGTCCTTGACCGGAATCAAACCCGGGACCCTTCAGTCGCAGGCCTGCAAGCTAAAATTCGGGTTACGAGCCAGCTTCAGATACCCCACCGCTAGTTGACGCAGCGAACGTCACAGTGAATGCCACAACATCAGCCCAGCATCACATGTCATTGTAATGGTGAAAATTGATTTGACATACGAGTAATTTGAGTTACGAGCTCCATCACGGAACAAATTAAACTTGTAAGTCAAGGCCCCACTGTATAGGTTATTGATAAGACCTATTTGTATCAAAGTATTAAGAATGTATAAATCTGCTCCTATAAAGGTGTTGATATTCAAGTAGAGCTATAGCAGAATCTAATTTAAGCCTAATTGTTTTGTTTGTTGTTGTTGTTTAGAGTTCGTAATGTAGTATGCAATAAAAATACACAATCTTTAAACTCAAAAGACAAATTTATTTAGGTCTGCTAAAATTGCTGATATGAGGAACAAGAGCTTTAAAAAAACAGCTTTTAAAAAAATTATTTTTAATTTTTCTTTCAGACTCAGTGTTCCTGAAAGTACACCTTTTACAGCAGTCTTAAAGTTTGCAGCAGAAGAAGTAAGTATAGAAATTGGAACAACCTGTATAGAATACAGATTGACAGTGTATCCCAAAAATCTTTAAATTTTGCATGCACTTCGAACAGACCACTTCTCTATGGGTTTATTACTAGGTTAATGCTATCAAAAAGTTAAGCTTTACTAACAGATATAAATAAAATGAAAGTTAAGACTTACTGACAGATATAAGAAGAATGAGTTTAAATTGACATATCCAATGCAGCCATTGAGAAATATAAGGAATTTTTATTGAAATTGAAAATATTCAATTATATGTAAAATTTTTTAAGCACCAGCATATCATTCTAGTGTGTATATTCATTTTTGCTACCTTTTATTCTAGAATTATAATTTTTAAAATATCTGTCATATTTTTCAAAATTTTTGTGTATGTGGACTGTCAATAAAAGTTATTTTTAAAAGTGTCTAGCTTTTTAAAAAATACTTTGGTTTTCTCTTTTGAGAAAAATTTCCATTCAAAATTATCATTAGAGAAATCTATAAAGCATCTCTTTGGACATGCCATGGGGAAGAGTAACGTGGTTAGAAATGGCACCCAAATGTAACTTGGAGACTTAAGATTTCTATTGTAAATGTGTCATTCACTATCTGTATAGTGAAGGCAAACTTCTCAGTTTCTCTTCCTCAAATTTCTTTTTTGTAAAAGGAAGTACGTGAAGTTAAAAGTGCTATACTGTTACAGAGGAACTCAAATCTAAATTTTGGTTCAGAATCTTCAGAAAAAATTTATAATTATGGAAAATAATTTTAGTTAAATAAGAAACCAGCTTAACCTATAATCCTTTATTAAAGTGATTAATGGAAAATAAATAGCTCATCAGCACTCAGCCCCTCATACTATTGTCAGGGACCACTGACATTATTTATCACTCATTTAGAATTAAACTGAAAAATGGTAGTACATGTTTTATAGCTAGATTTGATCTATTCTTCATGTAGAAAGAATAAGTTAAAAGAAATGGGAAATAAATCTGAATATAGCATCATCATTATTTTTTGCTATACAGGTCACTTGTAAGAAATATACCTGGCCTCGGACATAGCAGATTCCACAGATTCTAATTTAAGAAGTAGATCTGTATTTATAATTTGCAGTAATTTATTTTACTATAAATTTGCAATGATTTATTTATTATAACAATAATATGTAATTATTTTATTATTACTTACAGAATGTAATTATTTATAAAAATGACATTTATTTTTCTATTTTATAGTTGTTTTATAATGTGTTTTTTATAAGGCAAAGACATTGATGTCATCCTGGTCGTTTAGGGTGAGGATAAGAACATCTTAACAAACATGCAGTGGAAAATTAATAACTTCACCCAATCACATGTATTGGTTAAAGTTTTTTTTTTTTTTTTTAATATATTTTATTGATTTTTTACAGAGAGGAAGGGAGAGAGATAGAGAGTTAGAAACATCAATGAGAGAGAGACATGGATCAGCTGCCTCCTGCACATCTCCTACTGGGGATGTGCCCGCAACCCAGGTACATGCCCCCGACCGGAATCGAACCAGGACCCTTCAGTCCGTAGGCCAACACTCTATCCACTGAGCCAAACCGGGTTCGGCTAAAGTTTTAATATAGCTTATAATTATTGTGACTCACGGGTGTTATACATTTAGAAAAGTAATGACTTTCAGTTAACAGTGAGAAGGCCTTTCGCAAGATGACATTGTAGAATGTTTCAGTAGGAACAAGACTTGACTTGACAAACCAGAGAATGTGGATTTAAATCCCTAGTAAAGTTCTTTTAATAAAAATATAATAAAATTTCCCACTACATGACTGGGTTAATTTAAGTAGTGAGTTGTCAAAGCATGAGAAGAGCTGCTTCACATTGTAAATTTTACGACTTATGAAATCAGAAAGAAAATAAATGAAAACTGAGAAACATAAAATACACTTTGCACCCAAGAGGAAACTTGTCAGTAATTTGGGACAAAACTAGGAGTTAATATAATTTACTTTACTAGTGATGATTCCCAAATTTTAGCTTTCCTGTTGCTTCTACATTCTGGAAAAGGGAAAAGTGGTATCAGCTGTTTGCTTTTGATTTTTAATGTTCATAAAATATGTTGCCGCTATATGGATGTGACTAAGAAACCTGTTTTATCTTTAAATGGACATAATCTAAGAATAAGACACACTCAGTAGGGAACGAGAAACTTTGTAATATTCAAGTTTTGGAAATCTGACATATCCTATAATTAATTTGGGTATTTGATCAAAGTTTTATTAAGTAGTATAACCTTTTAGTAATTTTTAAGTTATTTTAAATTATGTTTATTTAAAATTCTTAAATGTGTAAAAGGACATTTACAACTAAGAATGTGCCATATAGACAGTAAAATTTGTTAGGTACATAATCCTGTAACAGTTGTTTTATGCATAATTACATTCTTAACATGGGATTCTTCCATTTATAAGTTAAAATAAGCTTTCAGTTGTTTTCCTCAATTATGCATATGTGATCATTATAAATACCTAGAATAGTGTTTCCCAGATTATTTTTCCTAGAGAACTAGAACCACCAATAAGAAAAAGAAAAAAATTCCATGAAAAACTGGGATCATTGGCCAAGAAGTATGGGAAATACTTCATTCACTATTTTCTTCTTGGAGTTAAAGTATTAGCAGCATACTTGAAAATTTTGAAAAGAATATCAATATCACGTCGTGTTTTCAAACTTATTTGGTTACAACAAACTCAACTATAATATCTACAAAACTTGTCCAGCATAGAAGGGCATACTTGCTGGAAAAATTAATGAATTATGAAGACATGAATATACTTGGATAACTGCTGGTCTTTAGAGCATTGAGAAGAATTCTGACTTTAACTACAACAAGTTTCTTACCACATTTCATTGATTTAGAAAACATCTTTTACAACATCTCTAAAAATAGATCTGGAGTTTTACTATCACTGTTAGCCATGTGGCAATCACATAATTATCTTGATATCACCTGCAATACTTGAACTTAGTTATTATTTTCTGGTGGTATAATTAGAGTATTGCCATTGTGTGAGATTTAAGTCAGCAATACATGAAAGGAGAATTTGAGGAAGGACTATAAGCCTTGGTTGGCCTCCCATTAAACACAATAGAGCATTTATTTGAACTCACTATTTCTACAAAGAAGTTTTAGGAATATTCTAAGCCAGTGGTCAGCAAACTCATTAGTCAACAGAGCCAAATATCAACAGTACAATGATTGAAATTTCCTTTGAGAGCCAAATTTTTTAAACTTAAACTATATAGGTAGGTATATTGTTATTAACTTAATTAGGGTACTCCTAGGCTTAGGAAGAGCCACACTCAAGGGGCCAAAGAGCCGCATGTGGCTCGCGAGCTGCAGTTTGCCGACCACGGTTCTAAGCAATTGTTTTGCTTTTATTTTTGCTTATGAAAGAAAGCAACAATTCTAAGTCCAAAAGAGTAAACATTGAGTCATAGATTCATTGATAGTGAATTTTTGTTTTGTTTTGTTTTTGCAGTGAGTAAAATAAGGTGCATGGTGTTCGTTAGAATGAAATGTAGTATTTAGAGGGCAATAATATTTTAAAAAATATACAGCAAATTACATTAGCCCTTTGTTTTATGATGTGACTTATCCTGAAAGAAAAGTCACATTTTAGAATGATCTGTACACCATTCTTGTTAAACTAACCATCTTTTATAGAGTATGTGTGTGTATAGAAATTTTTTTCTTTTTCTCCCCTTTAGTTTAAAGTTTCTGCAGCCACAAGTGCAATTATTACCAATGGTAAGAATTCATTTAAAAATTACTTATTACCTTAGAACTATTGAAATTATTTAAAATAAGTCAAATTAATTAATTTAACTTGAATGCAAAAAACCCAAACTTTATATCAACATGAATGAAATACATAATTGTAAATACTAAGTCAAGGTTATTGTCCATAGTTAGCTCTTTTCAGATTCTTTATGCTTTTTGATATAGGATAGCATTTTGTAATATCTTATTATATCCTGATCACTTCTTGCCAGATTATTACTGAAATAACCTTTATTTACCAGGTGTTTCTTTTTCAAAATAAGCTTTTTGATAAATGCTTACAGAATTTAGGTAGTTAAGTAGGAATGTACCTTTGCTGTACTTTGTAGTTGCTTTCCTGATGAAATCTATTTCTTTCTCTTTTTTTTATTAAATCTTTATTGTTCAGATTATTACATTTGTTCCTCTTTCTTTCCCCCCATAACTCCCCTCCTTCCAGTTCCCACTCCACCCTCCGCCCTCACTCCCCACCCACTGTCCTCATCCATAGGTGCACGGTTTTTGTCCAGTCTCTTCCCGCATCTCCCACCCCCCTTTCCCCACCCAAGAATAGTCAGTCCATTCCCTTTCTATGTCCCTGATTCTATTATGATCACCAGATTATTTATTCACTTGATTCTTAGATTCACTTGTTTATAGATGCATGTTTGTTGTTCATCAT